ACAAATGTTGTTTTTTCCATGTCTTCAGGATTCATTTTTATCTGATTATATCCTGAAAAACCATCCATGAATGAAAACCATGCGTGTCCTGCAGTATTGTCTACCAATGTGTCTATGTGGGGTAATGGAAAGCTATCTTTCGGACTAGCTTTGTTGAGATCTCTGTAATCCACACACATTCGAACTTTCCCATTTTTCTTTGGTACGGGAACAATGTTGGCTACCTATTCTGGGTATTTAGATGCCTGTAGGAAACCTGCATTGATCTGTTTCATCACTTCCTCTTTGATCTGCAACAACATTTCTGGCCTCATTTGTCTGAGCTTTTGTTGGACCGGTTTATATTCTGGATTGATTGGAAGCTTGTGTATCACTATATATGTGCTTAAACCAGGCATATCTTGATAAGACCAGGCAAAGATATCTTTGAACTCTTGAAGGAGATTTATCAATTCTTGTTTTATCTGGATTGTCAGAGTAGTACCAATTTTCACCTCTTTCATTTCTTCATTTGTTCCCAAATTCACAGTCTCAATCTCTTCTTTGTGGGGTAGAATTTGTTTGTCTTCTTTTTCTACCAATCTTAATAGTTCAGTAGGAACATCACATTCCGGTTCATCCTCACACCCATTGATTTCTTCCAGACATATAGGTTGCTCTAAATTTATCTCTTGATTAAATTTAGGAATAAACATGCTATTAACATGGTGACACCTGCAAATTTAAGTCGGACATATTTCCGAAAGAATATAGTAAATTTATGAAATAAATAAATGTAAAAATGTAAGAAAATGTAAAGAAAGATTGCCATCTGAAAATTTTAAAGAAAATTTCTTATATTTAACATAATTTCCTTTACAAGATAACCAAAAGTTTTCATATTTTTGAGCTAAACATAAAGATTAGTTCTGAATATTACTCTGCGTTAATATTAAAAACTATAGGAAGATCTTCAGTGGTCCAATTGTTGAGTGTTTCTCCAAGAAAACATGGGCGAATCCTATCCAAATATTTGCCCGTCTTGTTGTCATTCATGATCATGTTGATAAATAATCCATTCATAGCTTCTTCAACTATGTTTTGATCTTTCGTCAACTTTTCTTCTTTAAAGGCTTCAACAAGCTGCTGTTCTACATTAATTGTTCCCCCTGATCTGAATATGGTCTTCAACTGTGGGAAAGACATGTGTTTCCAAAGGATTTCTCCCCCTTTCAATTTTGCCTTTCTGTCTTCACATCTTCTTTTCATCTATTTGTTCTTTTGCTGAAAATTGGGCTTAAACCCAAGCCCAAAACGATCTTTCTTCATCTTTATACTTACAGGAACTGAAATCCCTTGAAGATTCTTTCCTAACCCTTTCCCAGCTTTAGCTCCGATGCCTAAAGTTTGTCGTACCGTCATCTTGGTGCAATCAGACAATCTGGGATATGGAATTTTGCTTCCTTCTGCAATAAAGGTTGCATTTACAAATTCAAGAGCTCAGAAAGAGCATTCAAGATCATCATCATTGGTGTCGATATATGGAACATCACTTGTTACCGACGCAATGATTTTTTCTTCAGCCCCTACGCATATTAGTTGTCCATCAACAACAAATTTCAATTTCTGATGTAATGAAGAAGGAACGGCTCCTGCTGAATGAATCCATGGCCTCCCTAATAGACAATTATATGTAGGATGGATGTCCATCACCACAAAGTCAATACTGTACACGACTGGTCCAATTAACAACGGTATTTCCATTTTCCCAAGCACTTCTTTTTTAGTACCATCAAATGCTCGCACTACATTCTGATAACTCTTCATGTGTGATTGATCCACAGGCATTCTTTGAAGTGTGACTAGAGGCATCAAGTTGAGAGCGGATCCATTGTCAATCAATACCCCTGGCAACACATGACCATGACAATGTGTCGTGATGTTCAAAGCTTTTACTGACCCCATTCCGCCTTCCGGTATTTCATCATCCGTGAACGTTATGTAATTGTCAGCGGCTATATGTCCCACAATTCTGTCAAGTTTATTGAGGGATATATCTTCGGGGATAAATGTTTGATTGAGAATTTTCATCAAAGCATTTCTATGTGCTTCTGAATTCATCAATAAATCAAGAATAGAAATTCTCGCTTGTTGTTTGTGTAGTTGTTCAACCACACTATACTCACTATGTTTCAAGAATTTCAAAAATTCTTGAGCTTGTTTTTCTGTCACAGGCTCATTAAATGCTGGAAGGGATTCATCCTCAAATACCTTCTGAGGTATTACCATGGTTTTTCCTTTTGCTTTCACTTGTTCTGAAGCATTGGATGTTTCGGGAGAGTAACATCTCCCACTTCTTGTAAAGAAACCGACTTCGCTCACTGCTTCAGACTTCGATGTTGTACCCAAACTCTGTTTTTTCTCTTCTGTTTTTTCTAGAGAAACAGATCCTCTTACCATTGAAACATTGGTAGTATAATTCCAAGGTACCCTACGGGTATCTTTGTATGGAAATGGTAGAGGAGTGATGATAACTACTTTCGGCTTTATTGGTGCAGGAATCGCCGTAGATGATTTCACATTAATGATCACAAGATCATTTATTCTTTGATTAGGTTTAGAATCCTCTGATGAGCAAACATCATCCTCTTTTTTCCTTGTTTCTTCTTCAAAGAATTCTATTTCTCTGTTGTTCATCAATTTTTGCACCAAATCTCTAAACTCAGGACATAGTTGAATTTTATGCCCTTTCTCCTGATGATATTCACAATAATTCTTGCCTTCATTCTGCTTTGGCCTAAATTGTTGGGGAATTATACCGGCTAAAGAGAGTTGTTGGAATACCCAAACAAAAGGAGATTTAATTTCAGAAATGTCAGTTTTTGCTTTCTTTCTGTTCTCTTCCTGAATTGCATTCACGTTTTTATCTCCATGATTTGGCAATGGATGATTTGATGCAGATGGTGTATTGAATTCCAACTTTCCAGTGTTGATCAAATTTTGAACCACCCTTTTGAATGCCAAACAGTTTTCAATAGAATGACCCGTAATTCCTTCATGGTAAACACAGTGTGCCTTTGTATCATACCAAGGAGGGAATGGTGGTTGCATGGGAACCAAAGGATAGGGCCGTATGACATCTGCTTTTAACAGCGAATCATAGATCTCCGCATATGGTACTGGTAAAGGTGTAAAAGACAACCTTTCATTTTCCTTTCGAGATCCTCTGGACTCTGCTCGATTAGTGTTTGTTTCCTCTTTCTTAACCATTGGCTGGGTTATTGTAACACTTTTCGATGAATCCTTGTTGTAAGAATTTGCATTGTTGACTTCATTCTCTTTTTTTCGGTACATAGGTCTTTTGGAACTAGACCCCTCATTTGATTCAATTTTGCCACTTTTCAAGACATTTTCAATGAGTTCTCCAGAAATGACCAAATCTGCAAAATTTCTGGTTGCATTCCCCATTAGATGATTTAAATAAGGAGCTTTCAATGTATGGACAAATATTACGGTGGCCTCTTTTTCTGACAAAGGTGGTTGAACTTGGGCTGCCGTGTCACGCCATCTCTGGGCATACTGTCTGAATGTTTCATTATTCTTTTTCTCTAAGTTTTGGAGAGTCCATCTATCAGGAACCATGTCTGTTACGTGGCGGTACTGCTCTAAGAATGCTTTAGCCAGATCTTTCCAAGATCTAATGTTGGCTTTGGTCAATTGAGTATACCATTTTAAAGCCGGTCTTGTCAAACTATCCTGAAAGCAGTGAATTAACAATTTCTCGTCCTTCACATATCCTGCCATTCTGCGACAAAACATAGTAATGTGGGATGAAGGGCATGTAGTACCGTCATATTTATCAAATTCAGGAGCTTTGAACTTGATGGGGAGGATTAAGTCTGGAACCAAACTCAACTCACTAGCGTCAAACCCATAAAATGATTCAGTTATTTCCACGGATTTCATTCGTTCTTCTAAGCTCTTGATCTGTCTGGTCAATTCTTCATTTACTTTTTGTTTCTCATTCAGCTCATTCAAATCTGGGATTAAATGCTCAGTATTAAAATCCTCTATTTTCACATCTGATATAAGCGGATTTTTACTTGAAGATGCAGGATCCACTTGTTGATTTTCATGTGGTTTGGCTTCTTGTAATGCAGATGTATGAGCATTGATTTGTATAGGTATAGTACCAGAATGATAAATTGGTTCTGGTGGAAAACCTAGAGGATACATAGGTTCTTGGTCGAAAGATACAGGATTTTCATGCATTTTTCCAATGATAGCCTGTCTTTTAAACATGTCCTCTATTTTCTGCATCATGCTGTCTTGTGAATTTGCAATATTGGCTTCAATTTTCTCCAGCTTCATTCTCATTTCTGCTTGTTCTTTATTATGCTGTTCCTCAATACGTTGTATTTTATCCTCCATAATTCTCTTAGTAGCTTGTCTAGTACCGTAGTGATGTTGTATTTCTCTTTTGGCCAGAAAAACTGCGATTGAAAAATCTTTTAATATTATTTTTTCCAAATTTTAATTAATGAATTTTATCCTAATAATAAAAAAATCATGAAATGAATAATGAATGTATGCAAAATGTATGTATGCAAAAAGGTATTGATCCCAAAAAGTTAACTGTCATAGAACAACTTTCATTGGCATACAAAAGTTTCTTTATAATAGTTCATAACTACAGATAAGGCGTAGCTTTCCTATTAAGCTCTATAATTTCTTTCATTAACCATGACACCTTCTTTCCGCACTTAGAAACTGGATCAACGTGATGCTCATTATTTTGGCTTCAACAGCTAGTTCCCCAACATATCTAGCAACTTCGCTCATTTGTACCATGGCCTCGAACACCATATTACTTCTTTCTTCACTTCTTTCAACATAGAAATTAGTTGACTTTTGCCATTGTTCATTTGTTCCTTCAAGAGTTTGCTCTAACTCAGTGATTCTGACTTGGCAATTGTACAGAGTTTTTTCAAGATCTCTAATGCGTCTTCGCAGTGAAGCACTTTCCTCATTACTTTCTTTGAGATCATTAGGTCCTAGACGAACCTTTTCTTGAAATAACGATTCTTCAAGTTGAAAAATGTAAGCATTAAACTCTGAGTTTTTGTTTCTAGATTGATCCAGATCTTCTTCAAGTTTTGTTCGTGCTTCTTGCGTTCTTTGATTAAGCTTCTGGATTTGAACATCCTTGTTTCTGCATCTTTGCATCCAATTGCTAGCCACTTCCTGCTCTACCTCAAGTCTGGTGTTGAAATTCTTTCTTTCCAGCTCCCATTTTTCTTTTTCAACATTGAATTCTTCAATCTTTTGGCTCCTGACTTCAAGTTCAGCAATCAGCTGGTTCATTTCAGATTCAAATCCCTGGAACATGATATTTTTCTCACCTTCAAATTTATCACAGATGTCATTCTTCATTTCTTCTAAATCTTTGGCTCGATCCCTTTCTCTTTGCATTTCATTCATGATCTCGCGGTGTTCAGCCTTGCTTTTTATAATTCGCTCTCTTCTGTCAACCTCAAAATCTTTCATTTTTTGCTTTCCTTTCTCAAGGCTTTTGAGTAGACGGCTATTCTTTCCTTTTAGATCTTCAACTCGTCTTTTCTCGATGTTCAATTCTCTGGTCATTTGTATTGTTGCTTGGCTTGATCCTGATGCTTTACGGGATTTATATAACTCCTGATAATTTTTCTGTAATGCTCTGAATTCATCATCAACTTTTTCTTTATCTTTTCTCAACATTGCACATTGTGATGAATGAAAGTCAATGTCAACACCCAACATAGCTTTATCTTGTCTCATTTGTTCTAATTCTTTCGACCAGCCTTCTCTTTCTGCTTTAAACTCAGCTCTCAAGATTTCAATCTCTGGTGGAACCACCTTAATACGATCTTCCATAGAGATATCCTCATTTTGATCTGGTAGAGGAATATTTTCATTTTTCCTGACATATCTCCATTCCTCATAATCAGGAGTTAACATTTCTTTTGCTGTTTTAGCTCGGATACAAAAAGTTGTTTTCCAAGCTGTAACGGCTTCCATGATATTTCTTTTATAATTTTTGCTGTGGAATGCGAACTCAGATGACTGTAATCCAGCAGTGACAGGTACAAATTGACGACCTTCATACTGTCTTATGACCAGAAGTGGTGCATATCCAATTCCTCCCCATAATCCGAGCAGCATTATCCAGTTGTAATCTCCACATTTGTAAAAGAATTCCCTTTGGATTTGCCACGGGGCTCGCCAAACAATGTCATTGCTTTGCAGATTTCGAAAGGCATTAATCCACATATCTTTCTTAATTTCTTTCGGACATTCCTGCTCCAGAAATTCTTTTAATGGTGAATAATCCGTATTAAAGCGTCGGTATGAAACTTTTTCTGTCTTCCAGAAATGACTACGGATCCAAACATATAACAACTGGGTACACCCTGAGAATCGTCCACCTCCTAGCTTTCTACAAGCATTTAACGATCTGAAGGTCTCTGCTAAGATTGCAGAAGCAGGATTAATCTTTTTCGGTAGCTGTTCAAACAAATCTACCACTGCAGCTTCAACATATCCCAATACTTTTGGGAAGATGACCATACCATACATACCCAGAGCAAATAAATCAAATCGTACTTTAATATCTGGATGACTCTGAATAAGTTCTTTAATGTTGGTCCAAGCAATGCCTTCGCTTTCGCCTTTTTATTTTGTACGGGATGCCACCCATTCTTCTCGTACCCCTGCAATCTTTGCTAATTTAACTCGAAAGGGTTGAGTTTTAATTGACTTTGAATAGATTCTATTCTCCAAAGCCCCATCTATATGTAGCAAAGTTGTGTACTCTTCAATAGTAGGGACCAAATCCTCTTTATTGAGAGTGAAGCAATTGTACCCTGGATTCCAGAATTGAACTAGGGCTCTGAGTAATTCATCATCAACTTTGACATAGAGCAAATATGGGATGTCTCCGTAAGTCTGATAAAACTGCAATTTTTTGTTTGAATCCCAACTTTCCCAAATATTTCGCAAATCCTGCATATCATTTCTTTTTAGCGAAACTGGAGTATAACTGGCCAAGTCAGATACATAATCATCCTGCAGACTGTCTCCTTCTTGTCTTTGTAAGTCCTCAGCCCACTGTCTTACTTCTGAGTTTAAAATTACTTGATTTGAACACTTTTTATCCATGGATGAAGGCTTTCCAATGAGACCATTAACACAAGGATCAATGCCTTTTATCTTGTATGATGCTATGCAAACAGAAAAAATAAAGAACACACAAAAAGAAATGAATTAGTTTACATAATAAAGAAATTTAATAATAACATTTACCTAAATATTTTTATTTAAACATGCTTTTTCATAATATACATGTAATTTAATCAGTAACGAAAATAAATAAATTAACATGAAAGTTAGAAATCATTTCTCCTGTGTATACACCTATTTTGGATAAAATTTCGTCATGACTTCAGATCGGAAGAGTTTCTAGGGTTTATTATATGCAGGGTTTCAGATCTAGGAATAAAGGTACCCGAATTGTCTTTGTTAGTGCCCCCTTGGGTTGCTAACCCTCAATCCTAGTCAATCACAGACTAAAATGGATTGAGTTCAATTCGAGGGGATACATTTCTCTATGTCTGACACGGAGAATAAATTCTCACGAAGACATAGAGCATATGAACCCCGGAAGTTACTTGCTAGGTCTGACACGGAGAATAAATTCTCACGAAGACGTCGCTTTCACTCCCACTTAAAAAGGACAACTCAATTATAGAGCTTTATGTTATGCAATGCAAGTGTTGTGTGTTAGGAGAAATGTTCAAACCTCTGACAGAAAAATAAATAATGAAATAAAATACTTGCAAATAAAATGAAACATATAAATATTATGAAAATAATAAGTAAATATAAAAATTTTGAAAAGAAAGAATTAAAAATTAAATATATGAAATTTTAATTTTTAATTAATAGAGACAATTTATAATTGATTTTAAAGTTTGACCGGTCCCCAGCGGAGTCGCCAAGCTGTCGTAACCGGTTTTCGTCCGGGCACGAAATATTTATTTGGCGGGAAAATTGATGTGAATAAATGGTTTTGAAAATAATTTGGGAGTCGCCATCGGCCTTTTGGGTCAGGTAGGTCGAATACCTAAAAATTATTTTTTTTAAAAGAGTTTTAAGAAAACCTCAATTAAAAATGAACTGATCTGCGTTTTAACCAAAAATTCGTTCTTTTTAATAATAAAGAGGGATTCGTGGTCGGTTACGTTTAGGGAAGGATTAGCACCCCTACAACGCCCAAAATTGGTACTTTTTAATTATAAATTGTCTCTATTATTAAAAATATTAAAAATTCAAAATATATTTAATTTATAATCCTATTATTTCAAAATTATAAAAAAATATTTAAAAATATCGGAAAAGGACTTCTAGGTGCCTTAAGACAGCTCTTTTCTTTGATATTGATAAATATTAATTTAAATTAAATAATATTATTTTTTTTAATTTTTAATTTTAAAATACCAGAATAGGACATCCAGTTGTATTAAGACTGTCATTTTCTTCGATATTGAAAAATAAATATTAAAATAATTTATTTTAAAAAATAAATTATTATTTATTATATATATATTTATGAATACATAATAATAAAAATATTTAAAAATATAAACAAGTAAAATTAAAACAATAAAAATACAACTAGAACGATATATTTAAAAGCAGTAAAATAAATAAAAACATTTAAAATAAATGACTAAATTATAGTAAAAGTAAAATTAAAAACCTAATTCATAATTAATCAAAATTATAGGGATTAAACATGCTATTTCTTTATTTTATTTATTTAGTGACTAAAATAAAATTATCTAAAATTCGGATATTAGAATAAAATAAATTAAAAATATAAACTAGGGATTAAAATATTATTTATTAAAATTAAGGGATTAAATCTGTTATTTATCCTAAATATATTATTTTAATATAAATGACTAAAATAAATAAAATTAAAATTAAAGATCTGAATTAAAAAGATTATAAACTTGATTTAATAACTAAAATGTAAAGTTTACAAATCTTGATGGCTGCGGACGAGATTTAACAATTTAAAATTGCACAAATAGTCCTTCCCGAAACGACGCCGTTCGGGAAGGCCTATTTAAGGTCCAAAACGGCTGGCCCGAAGGGCCATCCTTCATTTCTTTTTTTTTTTCTCTCTCAAGCAGAGAGAGAGCCAGAATTCTCTCTGGCCTCTCTCTATATTCCCTCATCGGAGGGAATCCGGCAGTCGTCTGCCGCCGTAAATTCCCCCGCCGACCACCGCCTCCGGTGGTCGGAAATTCCCCAAATTCACCTAAAATGTAGATCTAAACACCCTAAGACCGAATCCGGCCTTTGTTTCCCCCAAAAAGACTCCTAATCGGAGTAAATCTATGAAAATACCTTCGGTATTTTCTGTTCTCCGGCGATGTTTAGTGCTTCCGGCGATGGTCAAGGCTTCTTTGGTAAGCTTCTTTCCTCTTCTTTTTTGTTGTTGTTGTTGCTGTGTTGTTGTTGACTGGGATCGTTGGTAGTTTTTGTATCTCTCTCTGTCTCTGTTGTTTCCTCGTCTCTCCCCGTTCTTCTCTGTTTTTGCTTGCAGATGGGGTGATGGCTTTATAACCATCACCGGTGTGGCCATCGGACCGGTCCGAAGAGCGGATTTCGGTGAGTCACCGGACTCCCAGTGGTGACTCACCCCATAGCCATGGCGTGGACGGCTAGCGTTGGAGCTTCTGGAGCCTTCGGTTGGGACGTGGCAGCGGTGGAGATGGCGAGAGCAGCTGCGGTGGCCGCGTGGCCCTAGGGTATCATACCCTTGGGTTTGCATCTGGAGGTTCTTGGACCGTTGGATCATGCCAGATCCAACGGTGGATGGATGATGGCGGCTAGGGTTTAGGGTTACACATTTGGGTTAAATGGCTGGGCCATTGTAATTGGGCCGGTCGATTGGGCTTGTATATATATTTTTTTATTATTATTTATATATGTATTTAATATATTTAATAATAATAATAATAATAATGATAATAATAATAATAATAATTATAATAATAATAATAATAATAATAATTATAATTATAATAATAATAATAATAATAATAATAATAATAATAATAATAATAATAATAAATCAATATGGGTAAAAAATTAGTATCTTCAAACTGCTCGAAGCTGTTGGTTACGGAAACATGATTCTTCCTGCGCCGTGTTGGGTCCAATCGCTGAAGACATGGCTACCCTACATATGGAAGATTAAACCTCTCTTAGATGCAGAGGGAGACAAGGATACAAATTTCCCTTACAAGATGGATGAAGACTTGTGCCAGAGGGCAATCGTTTCATTACTTCTAGCATTGCCATCTAACGATCAAACCGATATTCTATCAGATTGGATGGAAACTGAACAGGTTAATTATCCCGACTTGAGTGAGGCATTCGAGATATGGTGCTGCAGAACCAAGTCAGCAAAGAGAAGATTGATGGAAGGCTTGGATAGAGTTGGCAACACCACCATTAGCCTTCGATAAAGGCTCATTTGTTCCTGGTTGTCTGAGGTTAGATGAAACAACGGGTGAAATATCATTTTTCTTAGAAAATTTGTTTCAAGTTCAAATGCTAACTATCGATCAACCACCTGCATCGTCTGACACACTGTGCTCCCTCGCCGGTGGTCGGAAATTATCTCATTTTGTCAGTAACCACATGGCATTTTCTTCAACACCAATAAGAGTTGCATTCATCTAATGACAGTGCTTTCATTTCAATGAACGAGTGTACTTCTATAATGTTTCTTTACCGAATAAAATGGAAACGCGTTACATTAATTTATTGTGTGGAATCTTCTTAAACCTTGCCTGTAGGATTTCCGTGCAAGGAGAGGATCATATCCAAAAAAATAAAAAGAACATACAAGGAGAGGAAAGCTCTAATCGAGGGAACTTCAAATAGCTGAAACTCAAACCAACCGCCAGTAAAGACAATTTTATCGTATTGTCCTTGAATAAACTCTAACCCAGAGTTGTAATAATAAATCCTTAATCAACGTTCGTTTGTTTGATCAAGGAAAAAGAACAGTACATGTTTATTTGTAGTGATAAAGGGAAAAAGAAAGGAAACATAAAAAAAAGTAAAAGTTGTAGAAAGATGTACGTAAGAGCGGTGCCAACGACAGACCTGAAAAATAATACAGAATGGTTAACGTGCCTGGTAGTTTGGACTACCATATCTTTGATGCATTTCCTTTCACAGCTCATCGTTTTTTATAAGTTCAAAATTGGAAAGATAATTAAAGGTGAACGTAAAATAGAATAAAACTTGTATCAGTGATAAGATTTAATATAATTCGATTTTATGTTATAAATCCTCTTTCAACGTCGCATAAAATCCATGTTTACAATATAAATCTCAATTGTTGCAAAATTCATAAAAAAAATCTCATATCAATATGGACGCAATTTTTTTTTTATAAAATATATAGCTAAATAACTTGGGAGCCATAAATTATATGACGTCAAGAAAAGAATAGTTTAATTACTATAAACCTATCTTCAGATGATATGTGTGCAGTTGTAACGATGATTGAAAATTGTTGTTATTAGAACCATGAAAATGAAGATGTATGATAAAATAGTTGAAATTATTTGAGACGTAGGACATGTCAAAGGCATGAATAAAAATCGAATATTTTATGGGGTGTTAGATGATAATGTGAGCAAGATTGACACATGAAAAAAGGATTATAAAAGTTTTCTATACAGATGGTGTGGTGATGAAATAAGTAAATATAGCTGCAAATTTATACCTGTCTTAGGAAGAGTTTGGTAGAAGCAGAAACAGCTGCTACCTCATGTAGATCAGATCTTATAATGCTATGGCATCAGAAACTCAAACACATGTTAGAATAATGGATAAAAGTTTTTTTTTTTTTTTTTGATAAATGAAGATTGTATTCATAGTAATGGATCCATTATTCTTAGAAGGAGCAAAGTATTTTGTCTCATGATTACACTAGGAGATATTAGATGTAACTTACCGAAAATGACATTCTTATTTCTCTTTAATAAGGTGAAAACAATATATACCCTCCCCTCCTCTATGCCAAAATGTATTCAGATATACTGTTACTCTATCTTTGCATTTGTCCAGCTTAAGCCACAAATCTCATTTACTACAAGGTGCTCCGGCTAGGTAACAGTAAACAGGGATTAGTTTTTAATTTTATCATCTCTGATTGAACATCTCAAATTAAACCGTCATAGGCATCATAAACTGAGTTTAAGATTTTACTCAACTGTTTACAAGGAAGAAAAAGAAAAGGGAAAGGGCTTTTCATTCCCGCCTT